ACCTCAAGATCCAGAAGTCTGTTGCATAATACCAGCTAGCACAGCTAAGAAATGGCCACACGAAATTACATCAAATAGTCATCCACTTGTGGCAGGGGTGGGAGATATTTTATTCTAGCTTTTAGTCAGTGCTCATTTGGGCTGCTACGGTTAAACTCATTTCAGAGTCCTGCTGTGGAGACACCGGATGAAGGCCACTAATAGATACCTTTCTCCTTATGGAGGTCCAGGGTCATTTGCTCAACTTTTTCATTCTCCTTTTCAGTCAGCTGCTTCCCTTGGCTGCAGGAGCATTTCCAAATCTCCCTCTACCTGTTGATGGTCTACTTCAACCTGTTACTAATATTCTTCTCCTTGGGTATGCTTCTTGCAGAACCTTCCAAACAACCAAAACCTGCTTCCCTCCCCCCATAAAGATCCCATATCATTGCTTTCTAATTCTCAGTGCAATCCTGGCTTGCCATTCTCAAACTGCTCTCAAGTATTACTAACACATACAGAGCAGCCTCAGATGGCACAGAGAAAGATAATGATGAGCTGTGGCTGCAGAAAAGTAAACAGATTGAAATTCTGCAGGTTCCGCAGGCCTTAACCACACTGTGCCTGCAAAATGAGGCTAGCACTCCTTTTTGCAGAACCACCTAACATGGGGTACTTAGCACTGCAATAATGGCTGCGGCTGCTGGGACACATCAACAGAATCTGGGATTCTCTTCCAGCACAAAGAAGTGCAAGACCACAACACAGCCTCTTACTTGCCTCCAGTGAGTTCTCAGAGACAGCTTGAGCATCACACCAACTCAGCAGATCCATGCAACTTGGAGGACAAGTTTTGTCACATGACTTCAGGGATTCTCTTATGTGAGGAACTACTGGAACTTAACACAAAATACTACGTGTCCCACATATACTAAGAGTTTAACCATGGTAAGAAATCCCACTAAAAAAAAAAAAAATCAAATTGCTTGTGTAGCTTAACCAGTGAATGCACAGCACTAACGAAAGCGAGGGAGACCTTCTAATACATTGATTTGCAAGTTACAGAACAAAGACTCAGAAAGCAATACTAGAGCTGTCGGACAGCAGAGCCAAAGGAAGCCAACTCTCTTTCAGCTGGGCAGCAGCAGCACAGCAGCTGACTTAGCTTCTTGGGAAGTTTTCTAGCAGAGCAAAGCTCCCGAAAGTTGATGCCAGCATGGCACAGAAAGATGTACAAAAACACTTTCATCATTAGCTGAGGATGAGTTTCACAACAGCTGTACAATAGGACATCAGCTCTGTATTGTCTGAGCTGCTGATGCTTCCTCTCTTTGCAAACCTAACCTCTTCCTGGGAAATAAACAGAAACTTGAGCACCAGAGCAAGTAGAATATAGTCCACCTCTATACATGTGCTAATTGTTGGGTAAGATCTGATAACAAAGAAAGAGTACAAAAGCTGAAAGCATCAGTGAGAGTTGCAGTGGCTATTAAAAACCCATTCAAGTTGTGGGGAAAAAAAAGAAAAAAAAAGAAAAGAAAAGAAAAAACACTACAAAGCTCTATCCAGGTACTACCAAAACCAAATACCTCAGGGGAAAAAAAGAAAAGTTTTAAAGTAGATCATTCCACAGCATAGTTACCTACCATTTAAAGGTAACAAATAAAAAAGAATTTTATTTAAAGCTTGAAAATAAAGCTCTTGTTTACAGAAGTCCAGTGAGAAGACCTACAGAAATCACCTGGCCAAGGGCACCTTTTCTGAACCAACCAGGTCTCCACGCACACTGGCTTTCACTGACAAGTGAGGTCATCACAATTTGACTGCTCATCTCCTCTGGCTCTTCAAACAACAAGAAAACAAAAGTCGTCTCCCTGTGAGAAACCAAGAACTGCCACTCGGTAACCTGCAGAGTTCCAGAACTCAAGTTCATCCCAGAATGGACTGCACCTCAAGGAGCTGGGGCTTTGCACAGCAGCACACACGCAAGATATTTATGCAGCGTTCAAAGTCACAAGCTTCTAATGTCATTGAAAGTAAATGCCCCTTACAAATATCCGTATTTCATAGTGCAAAACCATATTTAAACAATCAAAAAGTGAGTAATAGAGCAGTTAGCCAGCTCTTTAATACATTAGCTAAAAGTATATCAATTACATTGATTTTTATGATGGGCTGACTTCACATAATGGACTAAGCTCACTAGAAGGATTGTAAAAAAGGGAAAATGCTCTTCTGGAATTAGTGGAAGATGGTGTCAAAATGCTTTTAAGACAGGCACGCAGTTAAAACATTTTATTTGGGGATGTTAAATTTAGCATACTATTCTCAAGAATGGATATGGTGCTCAAGGGGAGTAAAAGCCATGATCACAACACTGCAGATGTATTTTGCAGATTCCTGTGACATTTGGCTTTAAAGATTTTTATTCCTAGCTAAGAAGCAGGAAGGTTGGACAGAGGCAAAATTCAGCTCTGCAGAAGGCAAGCAGTAGGATGCTCCAGGGATCCACAGAGCAGGCTGCACTTAAGGGTACTGATTAAAGATCTGAAAAGTAGAAATGCTAACAGTCAGGGTAGTTTCATCAATGACAGGAGACTGAAAATGCAATTAACCAGGGGCTAATCTGCCTCAGTGCACAAGTGACACCATGGCAGATATAACTCAGCGTTCAGAAATGCAAATTTGGAGATGAAAATCAGACAATTGCTACTATGGTGAGCAACTCAGTAGTGAAGTACACTTAGTATAAACCAGAAGGTTGTAAACATCCCTGGGAAATTCCAGGAAGATTTCTGCTCAGTATGAGCATAGCTGCTGAAAATGAAAAACACTCAGATGCAAGAGGAGCAGTGGCAAGCACTGGCAGGATTGTAATACCTTCATAAAGCTACTTGTTCACTCTCAACCATTACCTGAGAAAGGCTGCTCTCATTTTATACCACATGTCTGAAGAATCTTAGATGAAGAGGTTAGAAATTATTACTGCTAATATAAATAACAAAGCAGGACACGAAAAATACAAATCACTCATTAGCCAGAACAGAAACAGCTTACACTTCAAAAATTAAGATGCCATTCGGTGCAAGTGGGAAGCAGACCCTTCAGAGCCATGCTTTTTTGACACAGTGCATAACTACACTTTCATAGTCATTGCTGCTGTGTGTCGTTATAGCCAAGAGCACCAGTGTGAGGCCCACAGCAGGAAGCATTCAGCAATCCACTCATGACCTGCCATAGGCCTGCAGCCACAGGGATGCTGAGTAGCTCCACTGCATAGCCCCAGTGCTACAAGCACCCATGGGGCCTGCTGGTGGGGGAAAGGATGGTCTTCAACTTACAGACTAACGCCAGAAGTCAAGGTCATAAAGAGTAACACGAACTACAATGGGAAACCTACAGTATAACTTGGTCTAAAGCACGTCACTAGCGAGATTCCCAAATAAAAGAATTCCAGAACCCTTGTTCAGAGAGATCTGTTTATAAGCACTATGAAGCCCCACGCTCAGAGGTATCACTCCAACTCTCAGAAGGCACTGTAAGGTAACCTACATCGCAAAGGCTTTGTATGCAGGTCACACAAAGCAACAGGCAGGGACAGCAGCAGGACCCCTTGTGAAACAAACCTCTGTCCCAAGTGGGGCTTACAGGAGCACTGGAGAGAGAAGACAGGAAAACACAGAAGTCCAAAGCCAACATGCAGTACTACCTACAGACACACAGAATAGGAAGGGCAGCACCAGCAGTGGGGAAGCTCTCCGGACAGGATGCCAGCAGGGCTGAAGCAGCACCTCATCTATGCAGCACCGCCCTTCACCTCCCATGCCTGAGGCAGATTCAGCCCACCTTACCCAGGAGAGGGATGCGCTGCATAGCAGAAGTGGAGCAGCACCCCTCGGTGCCACTGGGCTCCGCAACGCCCATCACATGGCACCGCCACCACACCTCCGTGACTTTCAGTAATGTCACTGGGTGCTGCGCTCTGAGCTGAGGAACCAGGCGGCTCTGCTCACACAGCTCAGGGCTGTGGGAAGCCAAGCAGCACCCAGCAGCAGCCCCACTGCTGTCACCGCCACCTTGATTGCAAGGCTGGCTCGCTGCCGGTGTCCTTGCCGAGTGATGCCCCTGCCACTGTCCAGGGACACCACACCACTTGGGAAACACCTCTCTCTGCTGTGCGCACGTGTTACAGACAAGGGGAGCTGACAGCACACTCCATGCTGACACAGTACCACTCACAGGAAGACACACGGAGACCGCAAAGCACTGGGAAGCGAAATGTCTTCTGCAGCATAAGCAGCTCTTTGTGTTGACAAGGAAAACGAGTGCTGAGGCGTTCCATGAGCCTGGGGCACCCCAAGCTCGCTGCCCCCGCAGGGAGCAGATCTAGGAGCAGCAGCGCACCTCAACTCGGGGTTCACTGCCTACTGCTGCTCTGTACAGCTGTTGGCCGTGCCCACGTAGAGCTCAGAAACACCATTTACACAAACGGGAGATGCCGCCTCACTCCGCTCGTTGCCATAAAAGTTCTTTCTCCTAGCAGCCGCCGCGCAGCAATCGGGATCCATTCCCGCACCTCACTCCGCGCACCCACAGATCGACAGCTCTCCGGGCTGACACCGAAGGGACCCCGTGTTCAGACGGAGGGCAGCGGGAGAGGAGCGCTTCTCAGAACGGTAGAAGCAGGAGCGCTGCTACACGGATACCCCCACGCGAAAACTAAGTTACTTAGGGCACCGCTCACAGGAGATCCTCGCTTTGCCTCGATCCTCTCCGGCTCAAGGAAAGAGAACGAGGCTGAGCGCCCCAAACGCTGCCCAGTTACGTAACGGCCCCTCACGGCCAGAGCGGAGCAGGGCCGGGCCGCCGCCCGCCGCGGGGCAGGGACGCCGGTGGGAGGCCGGCAGGGAGAGAGGGAGGCAGAGAGGGCAGGCTGCAGCCCAGCACGCGGCGCTCGCCCCGCGCTTCCCCCCGCGCGGGCCGGAAAGCGGAACCCGCGGCGCCCACCGCCCGCCACTCACCTCGGTGACGTTCGGGGCCGGCGGGAGACCGAGGGCGGCGGCGGGGCTGCCCCGGCTCGGCTGTCACCGCCCGCCCGGGGCAGAGTCCCGCGAGGCGAATCCTCTGGCGACGCCAGCGGCGGCGGGATGGACGAGCCGCCCGGCGCCCGCTCGCCGCCGCCGCCTCGCAGCGAGTCGATTCGCGGCCGGCCTCGCCGCCGTCGCGCGGCCGGGCGCTGCCGGCGGCGGCCGCTACGGCCGGGGCACCGCCGGGCACGGAGCGCCGCCGGCCGCCGCCGCCTCGGCCCCCTCTTCCTGCGGCCGCCGGCGGCCGCGCTCGAGGCGCAGTCACGCGGAGCACCGCGGAGAAGCCGCCGCTTCGCTCAGCGCCTCGGAGCCCGCCGCCGCGCTCCCGCTCCGCATCCCCCGTCCTCCGCGCACCGGCGGCGGCGCCCCCGGCCGCGCCTCTGCCGCCCGCTCTCCCGCGCGCGCCGCTGCCGCCCGAGCCCCGCTCAGCGCCGCGTCTCCATCGCCAGCGCGGGGGCGGGCGCAGGGAAAGGGGCGGGCGCGGCCCCGGCCGCCCGCGCGCCCGCACCCCTAGGTGGAGCCCGCGCGCCCGCCCCGCCCCGCCCCGCCGGAGCCCGGATGTGCCGCGGGGATGCCGGCGGGGTGCTCGGCTCTCGCTGGACACCCGCGTTGTGTCGAGGTGCGAGGGCGACTCTCCCAGCGACTTTGCCCCCGCCATTTGGTGAGCGCTGCCCGCCTGCGTGTCAGCAGTCGGTGTGCCAGCCGTCACCTGGGGATCCGACAGCAAATGAAAGCATCCCATTGCATCCACAGAGAGCACTGAGTACCCCCCTGGGTACGGAGCCCACTGCAGCATCAGCACGTTCGACGTGCATCCTAAAATAATGCTTTTAGAGCATGAGTGTTTAACAAAGCTAAAAAGCTGCTCCAGAAACCAAATAAGGAGAATTCTTTAACGCTTGAATTCTAGGAACTGCTTTATCTTTCCCTACTCTTAAATTCAGCTTTTTAAGGTTATAGATCAAAGTTTATAAGCTCTCTTTGAAAAGTGTAGCTAGCAAATGAAGTTTTCATGAAGGAAATACTGTTTTTCCTTGAAGAGTAAATCTCCTTTTTCAAATAATGTATAGCGTTAAAGAGTTTGTTTATGGAGCCCAAAACCTTAGGTTTACAGGGCTGAATAACTGTGTTGTGCTCATTACAAACATATCTATTGAGTTCCTTGACAGAAACCCTGTATTTTAAGAACAATTTAATCATAGAATCATAAAGGTTGGAAAAGACCTCTAAGATCATTTAGTCCAAATGTCAGCCCATTCCCAACATGCCCACTCCTGACCACCATGACCACTCCATGTCCCTCATGACCACGTCCCTCAGGGTCACATCCACATGATTCTTGAATGCTTTTAGTGATGGTGACCCCACCCCCTCCCTGGGCAGCCTGTGCCACTGCTTCACTGCTCTTTCTGAGAAGAGATTTCTCCAAATATCTAACCTGAACCTCTCCTGGCACAACTTAAGGCCGTTACCTTTTATCCTATCACTGTTACCTGGGTGAAGAGACTGACGTCCATCACTTCACAACCTCCCTTCAGGAAGTTGCAATTGTAGAGTGCAATGAGGTCTCCTTTGAGCCTCCTATTCTCCAGACTGAACAATCTCAGTTTCCTCAGCTGCTCCCCATTAAGACTTGTGCTCCAGATCCCTCACGGTTTTGTTGCCCTTCTCTGGACACTTTCCAGGGCCTCAATGTCTTTCTTGTAGTGAGGGGCCTAAAACTGAGCACTCGAGGTGTGGACTTGCCAGTGCAGAGTACAGAGGAATGATCACCTCTCTGTTCCTGCTGGCTGCACTATTTCTGATACAAGCTAGGATGCTACTGGCCTTCTTGGCCACTTGGCCAACAGCAGGAAGGAAAAAAAAAACAAAAGGTGTGCAGACAAACAGGTGTGCATGCTGGGCCTATTTTAAAGGTGCTTAAACTTCTCACACATCCATTTTTTCCTCATATAGACAAAAGCGGTGTATTCAGAATCTGTCCATGTGCTCACAGAAAAGCAATCACTTTGGCAGGTGGAGCATGCCAGGGCCTGCATCTCCATGTATATTAATGCACTGACATTTTGTCAGCCACGTGCCTGATCCCCAGCTACAGCCTCTCTGGGTGAGGAAGACATTGGCAGTAGGCTGCTGAGGAGGGGAAGCTGCCAGCCAGACAATCTGCATGTGGCACTGGGAGTGTCTTTGCCAGACACTGGCTGAAGTAGTATGTGATCTGGTGGTTCATTGTAAGATAGAGAGTATTTTGAAAAATGCTTGGTACTGCAGTCAGGTGGCAGAGGAAACTTGCGTGTAGGAATACCCTGTGGGACAAAGAGGCGTTCTGCATGTAGGCCCCAGTCCCACATGGCGCTCACATGTGTGCTTGCTTTCAGTGAGTGGAATCAGATTCCTTCTGCACTTATGCAGTCGAAGCACTGGAGCCGTGCTGCACAGCTCAGCTGACACGTTCACTGGGGAATGTTGTTGTGACAGGCTGTTTCCCTTGCAGAGGTAATGCACACCGGCACAGGAACTGCAGAGCTGCCCTCATTTAGCATTTATAGGCTGAGGAGCAAGTCTGCATGTGTTTATACACAGCCAGATAATAGAAGTACTATCAGGCTTTCCTATGCCAAAATTGTGTGTTTCCAATTTACGCTCACAGTTTTAGCAAGAATGATTTATTGTATGCAAGCAGTTTACCATATGCAAGCAGCTTAACACTTGTTCCTTGATGACTGCTGATGCCGTAGGATGTATCCCAAATCCCTCTGTGGAATGTCTTTATGCCACCTCGATTATCTATGCTATTGCTCTGCAACCGAGTCTCAGAAATTCACTTAGCAAAAATGTCATCAATTTCATGAAAAGCAAAAGTCAATGTGAAACCTCGAGATACAGGCAAAGACACATTGAGAAGTGAAATAAATTCACTAAACCATGTAGATAAAAAGATGTATTTTTTGGAATAAGTGTGCATTCAAAAATGCAGTCTATAATTTAAGGACTAGGTTTATGGCTTTTGTATTAAGAGAAGTACATCGAGAGTCAAGTTTATGGATTGTGGAGTCCTACTAAATCAACTCTGTAAAATTACTGTTGGAGGGATCTTTTCCAATATGTACATATTCAAGTCATGGGAACAAATAAACAGATTTCTAAAATCTTTGTGATGGTTTGTAATTATAACCAATGCTATCCTTCTGATTTCATGAGACTCAAATTACATACTGCGCAATGCCTGAGGGGGAATAATATGAGATTTTTCTGGCTTTGGTTAGATATTTGTCAAGTCAGCTTAAGGCCAAGCTGTGCCACTCCTCTCATGTGCCCAGAACACCACAAAAGACCGAGTCTGGGACAGACAGCCAGTATGATGCAGAGGGAACCTCCCATGTAGTTTGCACTGCAGCCAGCACAAATGGGCAGACATACCAGAGCAAGTCTCCACCCCACCTGCAGCTATGGAAAACGGGCTGAAGGGAACAAAAGGAGGCCTCTCTGTGAGCTTTCCAGGAAAATCCCGGAGCTCCCAGGGTCAGGACATATGAGAACTCAAGTTCAGGCTACCTGCAAGGTGAACAGAGATGGAGCATGACCAAGTGCCATGGTGACAAGTGATGAGCAGCTTTGCTGAAGAATCCTCACAGAGCTAGGATTAAGGTGTGCTGTCGCTGAAGCAGGTCAGTGTGTCAGGGTTGGGCAATTGGCTGCAGCAAATTCTGAAGCAGCATTCCATTTGAGCTGAGTGCAAGCAAGTGGCCAAAGTGAATTTAAGGGAGGTCATCTTGCACTCCTTCAGTGTTTAAATGGTGTTTTTAAAAGAAAATTATTGAAATAAAAAGCTATTTATATGCCAGATACAATCATCTCTGGAAAAAGAAAGAAATATGTAAGTACTGTCTTCATGTCAACTTGGGGAAGTGTTTGTCCCAATAGAGCTAATTGCCAATCAAGAAACTGGTGTTTATTGTTGAGGTTGTTACAAAGGGGGTCATAAAATAATTTTATTACAGAGAATGTTGATCTGTATTTGCATTATTTCCATCAGATTGTCTTTGTTTTACAAGCTGTCTGCAATAGCTGTTCTTGGAAGGTCTCCAACAAAGCGTTCTCTTTGGGGCGACTAACTGCAAATAAGATTAAAGCTTAATATGTCTGGTAATCAGTTTTCTTTTAAAGCGCACAATTTGATTTCTCACGGTCAGCTGGGATCCCCCATATCCTCTTCTCTGTCTTTCTACTTGCTGCTCTCAGTAACCCCTTCCTCCCCCCAAAAGCCAATAATCTGCTCACAGCTGTACTTTCACACTTCTGAACTAGGAGGCAGTCATACATGACTTCTACTTCCAAGTAGAGTCCAAGAACTTCTATCAGTTTAATGCAACTTGCTTTTGTTTGTTTGTTTGCTTGTTTTGCCTCCAGCCCAGGCAAGAACAAAGTGTTTTATGTCCTCCATTTGTTCCAGTGTCATGCAATGAATTTAGATAGCTAAAACTCATTTACTCAAACCAAGCAAACAGAAGCAGGTAATCTCTCTACTCCTCACCTATACCACCAATTTGTTCCAACAGAGCTGCAGCTCTATTGAGTGAATCTGTCTTGACAGGAATGAAAATACCCTTTCTAAGGAATGGCAAGAAAGAAAGAGAGGCACTAGGTGGAGGGGGTGATCCTGCCCCTCTAATTCTGTAGAGGTGAGGCCTCACCTGGAATACTGTGTCCAGGTGTAAAGTCCTCAATATAAGAAAGATGTGGACATGTTGGAGTACATCCAGAGAAGGGCCACAAAAATGATGTGGGAGATGAAATGCCTCTCTTCTGAGGACAGGCTGAGAGAGCTGGGAGATACCTCACTTGTAAGGATGCAAGGAGGAAATGGCTGGGATCTGTGCTGGCTCCCTGGAGCAAAGGGTAGAGCACCTCCTCATTTCTCAGGGTAGAAGAATTGCAGTACGCTCACTTTCCACAGACACCTCCTGAGCCCAAGAGCACACAGCTCTTCTGCACTTAGCTTTTTCTGTGGTGACCAGGGACAATACGCCTCCTTCACCCGTTCCTTCTCCTGCGATGGACTGGAACTATAC